TGGGAGGAGAGCTTTCTCTGCGGTGGCGCCCAACCTATGGAATGCGCTCCCCAGAGAGGTCCGCCTGGCGCCGTCGTCATTTGTTTTTCGGCGCCAGGTGAAGACCTTTTTATTTAAACATCATTTTAATTGTTAACAATATTTACTTATTTATCTGGCCAGGGCGACTTCTTTTCTTTTCTTTTATAACTTTTCTTTTATAACTTCTTTTATATCGTTTATATTTTTTATTTATATTATTAATTTTAATTTTATATTGTTATTTTTATATTGTATTGTATTTTATTGTGTTGTAAGCCGCCCTGAGGCTTCGGCAAGGGGCGGCATAGAAATGTTCTAATAATAATAATGTTCTAATAATAAATGCTCCAAAGGTCCAGCAGTCAACAGAAACATGGGAATTTTTTCCTTGGATGACTTATGCCCCAGTACGGATGGATGATTATTTGAAAATGGAGCGCTTGAAAATATAAGCACTTCTGTCCAGACCCGAACAACCCCGGTGCAAGGCAGACCACCCCCACACCGCCCCCACCACCTTGGCTTGGATTCTGCCTCCGATTGGAGCTCAATCCCATCTCTGCAATTCCTCTGCTGGGTTTTAAAAGGCTCAACCTGGAGGCTGGAGAATGAAAGCCAGTGGCACAGGGCTTTGTTGACAGAGAATTGTGTGTGTGATGTTTGTCCAGCCGTGGATTACAAGCTGCAAATGGAACAGAGTCACACCCCAGATTGCAACTATGGGAGATATTTTTCAGGGCTCCGATAGACAAAAACGCTTCCTGCAAGTGGAAAAGTAAGAATGGTAGGCTAGGCAGAGCCTTCTTCCTCTCGCTTTTCCTTTGCTGAAGTGAAATCCGAAATCTGCACTGAAGTCAAGTGAGTTTGTACTTCAATTACTCTGATCACATGCCAGTCACGCGTCCAATTACGGCATATGGCATAGAAATACTTTGTAAGATTTACAAGCACGTGACCAGAAATTTTGTGCGGCACTGGCTCAAGAAGTAATAACACAAATGATTTTCATTTCTTCAGTTATTGATCTGTAGTTGGGACCACCTCAAAATGCATTGACCCCTCTTGGGCCCACGCTGTTTCATGAATGCCAGAATACATCGGCTGTTAGAGCCATAAGAGGTTTGGTGAGGTGAAATTTGTGTAGTTCTTGTGATCCAGCAACGAGTTTAGGGGCTGGTTGTACCTGATGCATGTGATTTCTCAGCGCTTTGCTTGGGTGCTACCATGCTTGTCCCATGGAGCCATGGATCACATCAGCTTTTGTACAAAAAGAGATATGAAGGGGATAGAAACACAGAAGTTATTTGTTTTTCGGTGCCAGGCAAAGACCTTTTTATTTAAGCAGCATTTTAAATGTTAATATTATTGAATTTTACCTGGCCAGGGCAGCTTATTTTATATTGTATAGTTGTATTTTATTTTAATGTATATATTTGAATTTTTACTTATGATGACATAACTTATTGTTGTAAGTCGCCCCAAGGCTTCAGCGAATGGGACGGCATAAACATGTTTTAATAAATAAATAAATAAATAAATAAATAATAAGCAGAGTGAGTCAGAAGGGGTCTCTCGGGCCATGTAGTCTGACCCCCCACTCCAGCCGGCTCCACTCATGACATGCCCACCATGTGCATGTCCGGCCTATCTTTGAACACCCTCACCAATGAGGCCAAACCTTTCCCAGATGCATGTCTCTTGAAGCTAGACTCCCATTTGGGAACTTTTGGCTCAGTTCAATGGGGGGAATTTACTCCACTGGCAAATTCTGGGGAATAGGATGCAAAGTAATTTTTATTTTTTAATTGAGGGGGTAAATTTCAGCACCCAGTTTTGGAGTGCCTTCTAACAGATGCACCCCTGCCCCCAGAACCAAACCAGTGATGATGCTATATTATAGGAACTTTCATGGGGGGAAATGGCGGCCAGCTCTGGAAGATGATCTAGTGGTCCCTGAGGATTTTGGCCACTCTCAAGTCTCAGCCTTGCTGAAAATTGGCCAGAATCACCCTTTCACTTCTCACAGAAGATGGTAGACAAAAATGTTTGAAGTGACAGGAATTCCTCAAATTGAGGAAATAAAATGAACAGTTTCACACTTTAGATGCAGGAAAGGTCGATTTGTGAACAAACAACCATATCTAATCCTATCACAAGGAGTTTGTGCCCTCAAAAGCATTTTTTCCTGAAGAACTGTGCAATGATGCAAGTTCTGCCTATAATAAAATTGTCACCAAATTCCATTTCAAGCTAAATTTAACTAAAATCAGTCCCAATATCCTCATGTAGAGCAACTGAGAACTTTTTGAGGAAAGCTGAAAGAATTTGGGTGAAACCAATTATATTTTTTCCATGTTTGTTCAGAAGTCAGTGTAGAACTATGCTTCAGGACTTTCAAAAAGTGAATTAGAGGGCCATGATCTGGCAAAATGTGCCATAAGCATTCCCAGGATTCACTCAAGAAGTAATAATACAAGAAGAGTTAAGGTTCCTATGCTCTGTGTTAACATCCTCTATAATTCCAGTGTGTATATATATATATATGTGTGTGTGTGTGTGTGTGTGTGTGTGTAGTCTACTTCTGGTGGCACTTCTCTTTATCTGTGTCCTTGCAAATCACCCTCTTTATCAAAACTTATACATATTATAAACATAGAGTGGTACCTTGGCTCACAAACTTAATCCATTCCAGGACTCTGGTCTTGACCCAAATTGGTCGTGAGTCAAGTCAAATTTCCCCATAAGGTTCAATGTAAATAAGGTTAATCCGTTCTGTAACCATTTTTTAAAATCAGAAAAATGTGAAGCAAAGTGACAAAGAACAACAAAGATTGTGGCCATCTCCCCCCCCCCCACCCCATCTCCCCGCGCCCGTCATCCCTGCATGCGGCCATCATCCCGGCGTGCTCCGGGGGGGCGAGATGGGCGCGATCACGGGCGCACTGAGGGAGGGAGAGACGGGCACGAATGGGGTGCACTGGGGGACGGAGAGAGGGCCGCGATCGTGCTGGTTGGGGCGGGGGGATGGCCGAGATGGCGCCCGTCTTTCCCGCAGGAGCGCGCCCGTGATCACGCACGTCTTCCCTGCACGAACACAACTGCGATCGTGGCCATCTCCCCACCCTGGGTCAGGGGGAGATGGCTGCGATCTTGGTCACCACCCAGTGCAGAGTTCACGACCCACGTCAAAATGTTCATGGAATTTTTGTTCACAACTCGATTTGGTTGCGAACCAAGGTGTTCGTGAGCCGAGGTACCACTATATATGTGCCTGTATAGAAAGCAGAAACAAGCCCCATTGTGATAATGAATATTTCTAGGAGCAGACATTTAACTCTAATTATTAAAGTCCTCTGTGTCATTTTGTCTCTGAATTTCCGAGAATTGGCTTAGAAAATGGGGAAAGGGTTGTTTCTGCAGAGGTATGCCTGAGAGCTTAGCACAGGCAGACTTGTCAAGCATGCAAGCTTTTAATCAATTAGAGAACTGCGGCTTTTATCCAGATAAATGAGTGACTGAGCAGAACATTAGTGCCATGAACTTTCTATCTATCACTCTCTCCCATCCTGCAGGACAATTCGGGTAGAAAAACTTTCCTGCATGGATTTCAGAGGTGCAGTTCCACACCAGTGTACTTTTATAATAGCTCCGAGTGTTGACCTGTCCATGAAGCTACATGTGGATTTTATTGGGAAGCAACACCTCTGATGCCTTTTCCTTCTGCTATGAGGAATGTAAAGAATTTCATTTCCATTTGAGAATCTTCTCAGCTTGTTCCCTTTGCATCCTGGAATACAGACAGGTTTGCCTTTTCCTGAAAAAGATCACCGGTTCCCAAAGGTGTCCTTACATTTCAATCGTGCATGTTGGATCGTTTGGTTTTAGAAAAATGCATCCTTTACCATGTGCATTTCTGCAAACCCAGACAGACAGGCAAACCATCATGGATTTTGGCTGCTGGGTGCAGGGAAATGCACACTTTTCCCATGGAACAAAAAGTAAAACCAGCTTGCAAATGAGAACAGGCATGAGGTTAACCAAAATTTGAAGCAGAGTTTGGAGAAACCAGGCAAAGTCAGGTATTCCACATTCTTCCACCCTGACCTGAGGGAAGGGGTGTTTCGACTACCCTCTCAGCTAGACTGCAGGGGTTTGGGATCACACGAGCCAGTCCCGTGTTCGCCACATTCCGAGGCCCCAAAAGCACCGTGCCGTGTGTTCAAAGCATGTTTCGGAGACCTGAGACCATTTCTTGCAGAATAGCCAGAGGTGGCCTGGTGCGCATGAGCAGCCAAGGAGCAGAATTCATTCATGCAAACCCTCCCCCACTTGTGCGTATTTGTGGAGTGCGGGGCGAGGTCTGATCCCACCTATAATTATGACGCATGCTCGTTAAGCCAAATAATATCACTTAGATTGCAGTGCTAAAGTGAAGTTGGACTGCAGAGATTCAGGTTCAAACTCCCACATGCGATGAAGCTTTCTGGGTGACTTCAAACTATTCTGTCTCCCAGCCAAGCCTACCTCAAAGGGTTGTTGTGAAGAGTAAGCACATCAGAAGAAAGACACATTGACCCTAGCTGTGGAAGAAGACCAGGATTTAAACAACAGTCAATACTTACCATTGTTCAGCAGAACCAACTAAACGCTGTGTGTGACGTTTAAATTTGAATACACTCAATATGCAAGTCTATACATATTTTAGAAAGCCCATAATTCCCAGCATGGCCCAGCTGCCACAGCACCTTTGATCCATGTATGTTTCCGCAGAAATAACTTCCATTGAGCTCAAAGGCACTTATTCCAGTAAGTATGCCTGGCTGGAGCTTAACGATTCTATTGCAGAGGGTTGTAGGATATTTTTTCCTGTGCATAAAACTGCACCCTTAATCTATATTTTTAACACTCCCAATGAGATATACAGTTGTCCTTATCATTGCTGTACATTTGGGAACAAGGAGTGCAAGAGAATCAGCATGTTGACTTTGGCAAGCTAAAATTTAATACAGATGCTTAGAGTTCGTTGACAATATTTAATATTTTATGTTAAATACCCATCAAAGCAAAAGTTTAAACAGTAGGACTTTAAATCTGATTTCAATCACAATTGGAGTTCTAATTGTTCTTAACGGATTTAAAAGCTGTGCAAATGTTTGTTTTAATTTCTGCTCTCGTATTTCAGTTTAGTCATCATTCCCTTTTCTTTAAGAAATGGCTACATGGGTGGGTATGTACAGATAGGGAGTATATATGTATAAAACGATGTAAACATTTCCTGGTTTTGGCAGCTTTTTACATGCAATAGAATTAACGATGCACCATGATGACAAATGTTTGTTAATAGACAAGAGTAGCATTTGGCTTGTCCCATATCGTGAATTATGTACAAAATGCTGAATAGCTCCATCTACCAGAAAGCTCTCCTCTGCGGGAATAAACAGGAGTTTTACGACCACTTCTGCATGACTGCCATTCATTTTGATGATGCTTGAATAGGAGAACACCCTGGTTGATGGCATCTAAATTGGATCTCTAGGACAGAAAAAAAAAACAGTTTGCCTTCTGCCAGTTTCGATCAGGGGATGGCTAAATATACTTTCCAGAAGGGACAAACATTACTTTCCACTTTTTTTCCACAAGGGGCAAAATATGCTATTTCAGTGGTCTCCCCTTTGGACTGTGTCTGTAACAGATCCAAAGACGACCATCTGGCACTCTTTTTTAGGAGAAGTTGGTCCCTTTGGATAAAGAGAAATTCAAGCATCTAGAATTGTTGCACACAAGCTCTCTCTGCCATTTCTGCATGAAAATAGAATCATCAACCACACTCGTATTTTTTCTTTCTCTCTGGGCACCACAGGTCTAAAGTCTGGAAAGAACGGGAGAAAAAAAAAAACAGAAGGAAAACTCTATAAAAACTTTTGGAAGAACGGTGTGTTGCTTTACAAAGAGTCTATAATACGGATACAAATCTTCAGAAATGTCTTGTTGCGTCTCTTCTCTCCATCGTTTCCCTTTATTTGGGTTTCATCTCCACTCTGGAGTCATCAGCATCAAGGTCGTATTCTTCCACATGGCCACTGGTCCACACCTTCATGCGGCTGGTTACGTTGCCAGTCCGCGGAGCCAGGATGAACTCATAAATCAGGGCGGCCACGGCCCCGCCAATGATCGGACCAACCCAAAAGATCTGAAACACAGGGCCAACAGTGGGTCAGTGGGCTCAGGTAGCTCACACAGAACATTCAAAGAAAGGATCCCATGAATGGTTGGCCAACAGTTGCCCTCTTTCCTTGTGGACTGGAGAGATGGTCAACTCGTCCTGACCCAAGGGCTGGCACGGGGGGAGGACAACGGTGCGAGGGTGCCTTCTCCATCCATGGGCAAGGCTTCCAACCCACCAACAACATCCCAAACTCTGTAAGAGTCAAATTAAATGACTTGATTCAGAAGTTCTTGTGTTTCAGGAGGCTAAGGGTAATCATTCTCTCCCACCCGCAAGAGAGGTTCATTAAGGTCTCCTTGGATCTAATGGAGATTTTCTTCAGTTCATCTCTCTGTGGTGGTAATGAAGGGGACTTCCAGAAGAATGGAGGGAGGAGGGTTTCTAAAACCATGCTAGACCCTTGGTTCCAATCTAGATGAGACCATGCACGCGTGCGGAACATGAAATAAAAGCACCATGCTTTGCTGTACCACGCAGCTCACATCACTTGGTACCACAAAGGACCTTTGTCGAATGAACATGCACCCACTCACTGGCAAGGTCAGAAACCTACCCAGTGATTAGCAAAATCATTGGCGATCAAAGCTGATCCAAAAGATCTGGCAGGATTAATTCCACAACCGGTGTAGTCAATCTAGGAGAGAGAAGAGAAAGACATGGACATGTATGGTCAGTCATGTATTTGCACACTCGTTGCCCTTCTAAATGCATTTGTGTACGCGTTATTTTCTTTGGAGAACTTCACCACAAAACTCTGAAAAATACCTCGTTGAAGGACAGCGACATTCCAGTTGGGAGATCGGGTAGGAAGGGGAAGCTTCATAAGTTATTACTGCAACGTGACCTCAAGCAGATGGTCGCCCCAGCCCATGACAACTCAGCCCTGAGGCCAAGCGAGTCCTGAGGTCTTGAACAAACCGGAATTGTCCCACCTTCATGAACTGGATCTTGGCTGTCTCCTCTGAACAGAATATATCTGTTATCCCGGGAATGGCAAACCTCTCCCGAGACAGGGCCCATACTCACAGCAAGAAGATGCCCCAGGGCCACGGAAAGGCCAATGGCCAACGGTGCCGATCCGGTGACATCGGTCCGCCTCCTGTCTGTCGTGGCAAGAACGCAGAGCACCAGCTGCAAAGTGGCAATTATTTCAATGCCGAGGCCTTGTCCTGAATTGAGCCCGTCGGCCAGCTGGGAAGGAACAAGAGGGATTGGACGGTAAGTATCTTTTCCACAGCAGTGGTGTGAAGGAGATGTGTCTCTTCGATTTGAAATTGAGATATTCACACACACACACACACACTTCAGTGATGTCAAGTGCCATTTCTTCCTTCCTTCCTTCCTTCCTTCCTTCCTTCCTTCCTTCCTTCCTTCCTTCCATTTTTGGCCTGCAAAGCTTGGGAATATACCAACTGTGGCTGCAGGTTGCATCTGTGCCCATGTTTGATCGGGAAAGTACAAACGGGGCAAATCCTAATTAAAAACTAACTTAATTCTGCTCCCATCCTCCCAAGCTGCCCTTCCTTTAAGTAATCAAAGCAATGTAGAGGGCAGTTTGTATCAAAACCATGTACCAATGTAGGGGCATCTGTGATCCCTTCCTTCTCTAGACATAACCTGTGCCTGAAAACCAAAACATGGACATCTTGCAGGGCTAAGAACATTAGGAAAAAGAAATATCCCGTTGGTGTCACTGGAGGATTTTTGAAAGGGAGAAAACAGAATGTTTTCAACCATACAGGAGAGCGGTGCTGAGTTTCAGGAAAGTCAAAAGTGGGGAGGGAAAGGGTAAATCATTGTCTCTTGGGCATGCAGAGAGTTTTCTAATTCATCAGAGAAAAGGCAGAAAGGTTCCTACAGGCTGTGCATGAAAAGTCAAGTGTAGCTTGTCCCTGTGCGGGCCAGGCCTGAGCGATACTGTTCCATGTGACCGGCTTCAGCATCCCAGTCAGAACCCAGCTGGGCGATCATACAAAAACACAAACACCCAGCCAAGCAGGGAGGGGAGACTGCCCATTCTGCTTGCGCCGACACATCATATTGGCATATTCTTCATGGAGAGGGATTAATTGGAACCAGTCGTTCGTTCTCAAAAGGAAAAGGTCATCTGTATCGAAGGGGATAAAAGTCAGCTCCGAGCATCAAGGCTTTGCTTTCTGCGTAAGGCGGGGGAAGAAGCTTTAAATGTCCTGGTCATGGGAAGCGTTGGGGTACGTGACCTGATACTCAACAAAGATTGATTATCAGAGAGTTTGACAGTTAAATGAGTCTGCAAAGAAGCCTTGGGTAGCCTTCTTAATGCCCAGCCTTGATCCCTGTATCCCACCTCTGGTGATTCCTGTTCTACTGTGGAAAAGGTCTGGAACGCATCAAATCCATGTCCTTGCAAGCAAAATGGAAAACTGTGGGAGAATGGTGGATGGCAGCCTTATGACTACAAATCCCATGAGGCAGTGTGGCCATGAGTGACAATCATATGCTCTTACATAAAGGAAATTATTCTTAATATACACTGAGCTGCCTTGTACCAAGAACCTACCACAATCTTCTGCTGAATACTTGTAAGCGGAACTCCTCCAGGGGTCTTTAGCATGCTTAAATATTTGCCTTCATACGGGTTTTAAGCAGGGCGAAGCAACCTGCCTGAGGGATAATATCCCTGTTTTGGACTATCACTCCCCACCAGCATGGCCAAAGCTGCAATTAAAAACACCCGGAGGGTGTCCGCTGGACCACCCCTGCCTAGAAGACCACTTCCCTCTTGCACTTCTCCATTACGCCTTTCATACGTCCCCATTCACACAACCATTTAGGTAAGTGAAAACAGTGGTTCGTGCAGATCCGTGCAATATTTGATATGTGCCTGAGCAACTTCTAAATATGGCACACTTTTCGACCCACAAAAAACAACGAAATCTTAGGTTGTATTGCTCTTTTTCAACCCTCTTTCTTCTTGTTTCTCAAGTTTGGACACATGAATTGGCCTCAGAGCCACATGGCAAAATCACCACCAAACTTTTACCGTGTGCTTTTGGAAAATTTGGCAAGGGGGATTCATCCTGAACATGATCTGGGTTCAAAATGGGCAAAGCATTTGATTTCCTGTTCTTGCCGTTCCTTCACATTGTCACTCACAAATCCCTTGAATTCCATTCCCACATAAGAAAAAGGAACACCCTCAGAAAGGTAAAGATGCATTGGAAGGCATATTTCTAATTAAGTGTTTGCTCAAACAAAGCTTTTTGAAATCTATTTCTGCTCAAAATGCACATTTCAAACATATTTGTCAAGCTGAGAACTGTGCCAGAGTATCCAAAAGGCCAGAATATTCTGTTCCTCTCAGTCGTTCAGAGAGGTACAGAAGAATCAGCAAGTATCAGAATTTGCAAAGATAAAAATTGAAAGATAAAATTCCTCAGATGGGACGGACTGAGCGCAGTCAACATACCTTGAAAAATCTTCACAGATACTTTGAATCAGGGCATATCAACCTGGGATGAAGATGTACACCCAGGTGAAATCCTGTGCATACAACCCAGGGGGGTAAATCCCATGAACTTGCTAAGGACTACATAGAACAGCATTGCAAGTCAGACCTAAAAACAGCCTTAGCTATCTCAGAGTCTTCAAAAATCAACCACCCATGTTCAAAGAATTTATCTTTCCCCTTTTGCAGGAGGGCTTTTCTTGGTTACGACCAACAGCTATTTCTAGAATACACTTTTATTTCCTCCAAGCAAAACACTGCAATGGCCAGAGCTGTGCTTCAGATTCGTTTGCCCTTCAAGCATTTGCTGAACAGACCAACTATAAAAGGAGTTAAATGCACATCAGCTTGTGAAATAAGACCCTCTCGTTGTGCAATTTGACAAGAACTTTTTAAGTCTTTTTCGGATCCCTGTGCAGAACCATGAATAGTCACAATGCATGTTGGGAATTGAAAAAAATTATTTTCCCCGTATTGTATCAATTAATTGGTTTTATCCTTGTTTTTATCACTATTTTTAGATGCGGTGTGCTGTGCATTGTTGCTCTTTGGTTTTTTGGTCTTTGCAAGCCATCCAGAGACTTTTTCTAGCAATGGACAGCAAAGAAAAACTGTAAATAAATAAATAATAAAATAGGAGGCATTTCTGCATCCTGTATCAGTTCAGCTCATCCGTTGCAAGATTGAACTCTGCTGATCTTCAACATATTTTAAAAACAATACAAATGTCGGGAAGGCGCTCATTGTAAAAGGCCATGAGACTAGATTTAGAGTAGGTGGGTGGATGTGCTTTGTTATTTTTTTACGGGAAACTCCTTTCAAAGATTAAACTCATCTTATCTTGTGCCATGCCTGCATCGACAAAGCTATACCCTTCAAAACATATTGAATTAATCTCATGTCCTGAGGCTGCAAAAGTACAGGAAATTATCCCTGAAAAACTTGAGAATAATCCCTTCTTTTGAGTCTGAAGTTTAATTTCCTGGCAGTGAGTACTTCTGATGGCGGTCTTTAAATGCCTGGATACTTAGTCGAATGTTTTGACTTTCAGCTCATTGAAGTTATTTTCCTGAGTGTTGGACTTGATGTTCAGTCATTCCTTGAATAATCATCTTGCTTCCCACTGTCTGTCTAGTGAGTTCTACACATGAGTCAGATGAAGCTGTAACATTTGGAATGGAAGGACAATGTGCTGTTAATTTTGCACACATGTGTATCAGTTCTACAAAGATGAATCATGAACACCACGCTTTGTGGAACATGCAGGTCCAGCGCAAAACGTCTTTCAAATGTAATCCCTAAAGAGGCATCCTCTGATCCAGCTACATTAATGGTCTTATGCACCTTTTTAATTTAGATTGGCTGGTTTTGCAACCTGGGCCTGCTGGAATGACAATGATCTTAATATTTGGGGCTTTGTGAGCCGCCCCGAGGCTTCGGCGAATGAGGCAGCATATAAACGTCTTAATAAATAAAGAAATAACTTCTGGCAAGATCTGGAGGAACAGCAGGTTGAGCAAAGCATTTATGTAGAAAGCTGGCTTTTGAGGAGCAACTTGCAAACTGAAAGCAAAGCAGTACTCTGGAGCTGACAGAAAAGGGAAGTTCTAAGCAATACTCAGCCTATGAAGAACCAGAGCCAGGGTGTGAATGAAATACCTTGGTGGGGACCTTATGGCTAACAGGGTGAGATACAAATCTAATAAAGTATAAATAAATAAAATGAATAGGTCTTATCCCCCTGGAGGTGACAAACTTGAGTCAAGGTTGTCCCTCTACAGAAAGCAGATACAGACAAAGGCTCCCTCATCCAAATCAAATCCCCTACATGCAGCAAGCAAGCCTGTTAGGGGAAAAGCAAAGGTTTTTTTGCTCTCTGACATTTTGATTTTTTTGCATGTTTTCATACTTATACAGTTATTATTTATTTTACAATATTTGAATATCGCTCCATACCTAGGCAGTACAAAGTTGAAGCAGATGAAATAATAATAAAAGCAATACTTTAAATAAAGGGAACACTAAAGCCAAGGCAAGTCAGCAAGAAAGGCTTCCCAGAACAAAAGCATTGGAAGCAACATAGGCAAGGAATTCCATGGAAATGGGGCCACCACTCTGGAGGCCCTACTCTGTGGACTCCAGCCAGTCCATGGGTCCATACGGAGCTGCCAGAAGAATGTCACCTGGAGACCCCAAAGACTGAGGGATGCGCATTCAACTAAGTAAGGTCCCCAACCTGCAGTTTCTAAAGTGTAAGGACCCAGGTGGAGGTTGGTCACCTCAGGGAAACTGAGCTGTAGACACAAGGTATTATATCCTAGTAACAACAACTCCAAGGCAGTCATTTTTGCATTGTGGTTACAAAAACAAGCTCAAGCATTTGTTAGAGATTCCACCCCCCCACACACACACACACACCAGTGGCTCCATCTGTAGAATTTTAATTAGGAAAACAAGTAATGGAGAGCATATTTCAAATACAGGACATTTATATAAACAAAAGGAAAGCACAAACAGGAAATTAAAAGGGCCAAGGTGTACCAGGTCACCGTCTTCCCCAGAGGCTGGATACCCTTTTTCCTATAAATAATCAAGTGGAAAAAGTGGTTTCAGTCACATGAAGATGATGATAAGGATGCTGCTGTTTGACATGCAGGATGAGGCCAAAGCCTGTGGAACTGTGCTGCTTTACAACCAAAAGAGCCCTTGGCTAACTACGCGATTTGATTCATTTTTATGTAAGCTTGGATTCGGGGTTTGTCATTGTTTTTCTTCCCTCCTAGCCCCTGGAGAAGGCTCCACAAAGATATGAGTTCCATGCCCTATCTGAAACCTCACAGGCCATGTTGTCCAACAGCTCGAAAGATACGCAAATCACAATCGTTTGGGGGTGTGATTCTTGTGTCGGGTGAATGAGCGCTGGGTTTGAAATGCCAGCAAGCCCTACATTGATGGATAGTGTCCCTCACTTGAGTACAGGCCCATCACATGGTGGAAAAGCACATTTTGCATGCCCCAGAGCCAGCATGTTCGATCCATGGCATCTCCTGCTTAAAAGAAGAAAGATCTCATATAGCATGACTTTTGTCTACCTACAACTCTGGCTGTTGATATTCTGTGCGCTCAACACCGGGCTACTTAGATCAATTTTGCAGTTGTGTTGTTACGTGCCGTCAAGTCATCTCTGACTCACGGTGACCCTACAAATCATAGAATCATAGAAGAGTAGAGCTGGAAGGGGCCATGAAGGCCATCCAGTCCAACCCCCTGCTGGTGCAGGACACCAAGTCACACCATCCCACTCAGATGGCTTCCAGTTTCTTTCTGAATGTCCCAGTGTGGGAGAGCCACCCACCTCCCCAGGCAGCCGGTCCCACTGTTGTCTTGCTCTGGCAGTGAGGAAGCTTTTCCTGATGTCCAGCCTGAACCTGGGTTGTTGCAACTTGACTTGATTATTCCAAGTTCTGCACTCTGGCATCAGCCAGAAGAGATCTTGACCTTCCTCTTTGTGACAGCCTTTGGGGTACTTGTAGAGGGATCTCATGTCCCCCTCAGTCTTCTCTTCTCAAGGCTGAATGTGCCCAGTTCTCCCAGTCTCTCCCACAGGGCAGTGTTTCCAGCCCCTGGATCATTTTTGCTGACTGCCCCCCAAAATGTCCATGACAGCCCTGCTCAGCTCTTGTAGATACACAGACCAATGGACGGACCCAACGGGAATCACATCAAGAGGGCAATCCTATTGTCAGTACATCACAGTTATGTGCTGTTAAGACAGGGATGCAAAGATGCGGCCACCCGG